GTAAGGAATTTATTAAATATTCTGCACAAAACAGGAACAATAACAGGGGCAGACATTGATAACATTTTGGGGCTAATATTGTCTGGCCCAGGGGATTTATTAGGCTTCAATCAATAGTAACTCTGTTGGGGTGGGGGTGGACAATATCAACGTGATTAACATCAAAGAAATTATCAGGTGAATTAAAATTAGATGCAAAAAAGAGTGGAAAATGCATTTGCAGCATCAGCATCGGAAATTGAAGGTAAATTGTTAAAAAAACTTTTAACAGGACCCGTCTTACGTCTCAACTTAACATAACTAAAAAACAGTTACATACCCGTACGATTTATAATCGAATCGGTACAGGTTTTGGGCATGCATTACTGTACATTTGCAGGATTGGATTGGATTGGATTTATTAAGGTGGAAACACCAACGATAGCCCAAGAAATTCTAGAAGACTTATTTCAAGTGGGGTCCTTCTGGTGGTGATTGGGCAGTACACAGGGAGACAATCATCTCTTTTCCGAAGAGTACTGCGTTCTTTAACACGCACATGGGCCATAAATGCACATGGGCCATAAATGCACACGGACCAACGACTTAAACGTCTCATCCGAAAGACAGTGTGCTATTGTAATTTGCATTTCAGCCCTCCAGCAGAAACACAAGGAGAGGTAGCGATGTTAATTGAACCGGGATCTAGAGATCTTCATGGTTCAGCGCACACACAGTGGCTACCACCAGACTAGCCGACTAATGGAAAAAGTATATCTTTTAGAAAGTTGCCTAGGATGATGCTAACTCCAGTTATAAAATTCTTTCGAAGAAAAAAATAATAATGTATAACAAATGTACACACGTTAAATAAATTATACATGGGCCTATCATGTGTTATTTGATGGTAAAAGATTTTATAAAAACATTGATAGTTCATATTCAGTTTTCCAACTGATTGTCGTTGGCATATTTTGATCATTATTATAATTTTATAATTAAAAAATATATTTCTATTGTGATTAAAATAACTAGAAAAAAACTAGTCTATAACATCAATGTTTGAACACAACTTTATTAGTCCGATAGTTTTAGTAGCAATTTCAAATATTTACAAGGTTCATTTGAAGATAAGCCTTCTTCTTTAGCTTGCAAACGTATTCTTGGAAAAATAAAACATTTTCAACAGAAACTAATCAAAGGTCATAAAAAGAAGCCCATGGGCTTCTATTCCAGGTTTTACGATATTCAGATGTTTTTTTTTAATTAAAAACTTTGCAAACTTACATGTCCAGGTTGGATGCTTTCCATTGACCCAAACAAAATCAGTAACAAATTCGGGAGTAATGTCTCTAACTAGTCCAATCCAAACGTACGTGTAGTCATATTCCTCTTTAAACGGAGTTGCTAGCTCATTTATGATCACGTGTTCTTCTTCTGTTTCAATAACAACCACATCAGCACCCTTGTCTAGGCAAATCTTTCTCGATTCATCGAATGTAGCCTTCGACGGATCAGGCAGCGAAATATAACAACCATGTTTCCAGTGCATCCAGTCTGAAGTCATACAATATTTGCCATATTGTGCTGAAAATAACCAAGTTAAAAAATTCTATAATTAAACTGTAAAATAATCTAAGACCGCGCAAGTGGTAGGGGGAGGAGGGCAAAGCAGGAGAGTGATGGAAAGAACAATTTGATCGAAGAGTCATTAGCCACAGACCTTATTCCTTTGGAAAGAGAGCATGAGAGGTTTAATTTTTCCTGATTAGTGGAAACAAAAGCCGCTCTTTGTGGTTCAAAGGAAATGCCCCCAAAATCCCGGACATCGTACAGAGCTCAAATATTAATATAAGTATTGTGATTATGCTTACTATATAGGCTAATGCAAGTAAAGGAATAGCATGAAAATAATAATAATAATAATAATAATAATAATAATAATAATAATAATAATAATAATAATAATAATAATGATAATAATAATAATCATAACAATAAATAATAATAATAAATAATAACACCAAAATAATATTAATAAACTTAATGATAATGATGATAATAACTAAAAAGAATAGTAATAATGTGCTATACCAAGATATAATAATTTAATTTAATTTATTCTACAAAAAAAAAAAACTCGAAGGAGAAGCAAAACAGTAGGGAGCATTTAGCAATACTAAAAATGCAATAATATTTACTAAGGATAGGCTACTAAAATGCAAAACAAGTCAATATTTTCTTGCCTGTTTCACATAAAGCGGATTTATTCGTGTTGCATTCAATTTCGGAAAACACGTTGAGATTAATGTGAAGAATAACACACTTTTCCGATGTATATTGCGGTTGATGTAGCCATGCTGAAAGGCAACAAACAGCTAAACATGTTATACCAACGTAACATAATGCTCTTTGGTTAAAAACGTATACTATTACACTCACATCCACACACGCCCACCCTTAAGTCACACTAATAATAGAGGCCCTAACTGATATCATTAAAATCTAACTGATTAATTTTATGATGAGTTTTATACAACAGAAATCCATCGCTTACCGATTGCACTGCAGGTCTAGCATCACGATACGATTACAAGACTGTGACATTGAGGATTTGGATTTTTGACACAATTGACGTATCATACCCCTAGCATTAGTGAAAGAAATTTTGAGGGCCACGTGCGGGACTAATTGTAATAATCATTATGAAAATAGGCTACGGATTATTAGAAACGTCATTCTTAATACCAATGCAAGTATTGTTTGAATCACGGATTGCCGTTTTAAAGTTGATTTACATTGGGCTCTATCCGACCATTCATTATCATCATTGAAATAGAAGAAAGTCCAATGGATGTTTAATATCAAAGATGCCTTTTAGGTCATACTTTGATAAAATACATTTCACATGACTTACCATTTCCATTTTAGTTAATTGAATTGTGCATGATGAAAAGTATTTGTGGCCACCTCTTATTGTCCATGTTATTTTACCGGTTAAAATACTGGATTTTTAAATTGTTTTGCATAGTGGCAGTATGTAGTGGTGTCTTATGGATGGTTCTTGCTACTGGTATTGAAGGTTTTCTATTTTGTTGGTTAAAGATTGTGCTCCACTAAACCAGATGGATGGTTCTTGTGTGAGTTCGTTGTTGTGGAAGAGATGTAAATTCTAATATAATATTAATGCTGCTTGACAGCTCCATCTGGACTATCTAACAGCTCAATCTGGACCATTTTTACTAACCTTTGCCTCATGTAAGGCATGCAAGCAAAGCAAGCATTTAGACTCGGGCCAGGGAGCGCCAAGGGCCAAAAAAATTAGCCCTTTAATTTAGGTAAATTCTTAGTTATTTGATAGGCATGACGCTACATGTAATAAGATTTCATAATTGTTGTAATGTCCAAGTCGAAGTTTCTTCCACGTAGGCCTACGATCTCGGTGAATTCCAAACATCATAAGGCTAAAACAGGGGTGCCGCCAGGATTTGCCCGAGGGGGAGGGGGGCCGACGCCCCCGACGAAGGGTTAGATTTCCCCGACGAAAGCAAAGTGGGTGTGGTCGACCTTCGATTAAAAGGCTTCGAAAGTGGTCCAGGGGGCGAAGCCCTCGAAAAGTTTGACATTTTAGGGGTTTCAAGGGCTTATTTAATCGATTTTAAGAGTCTACTAATATGTAGAAAATACACATAATTTTGTTTTCTGCCCGACAAATTGTACTTTTTCTCGGGGGGGGGGGGGGGGGCGCCCTCCTGCTGGCGCCACCCCTGGGCTAAAAGTACGCTTATCAGTGATGAATTAACTACCTAGTCCTAAGTTGTGTACTATACATCGTCCTTTTAAAAAATTATTTATGAAGACTAAAAATAAAAAGTGTTTACATACCCCTGATTGGCATATAACCAGGTAGTTGGTATAGCTAAGACCTAGCCTAGGAGACCTGGTCTACGCGCAGCCTTTCGTGGTAGGCATGGCCTAGTGTGGGTGACCGATTACTGTTGGAGCACATGTTCACATGACAATAAATTTAGGACGTGCACGAGACACAATTGGTTAAACTGTGATTTCAAATTAATCATGTCGTGTTAGTCCTATTGTACGCCTCATGCAATCACCAATTGGCCTACATCATTAAATATTATTCAAATCACCAACTGATTAGGTCAGTAGTATACTACAGAAATCCAAGGTACATCGATTGTACTGGTGGAGGTCCTATTACGATTCAAAGGACTATGAGATTGAGTGTTTGGATTTTGGACACGATCGACCCATTATACAATTTTAGCACTAACAGATACCTCATTTCATTAAAAAATATACATTGGAATGTTCGCGGTGTTGGGGAGATCGTTTTAATCATTATAAAAATATCTTTTTCCCCCTCTTTCTGGTAAAGCCACCTTTATTCCCATTATTGTATCATTATTATATAAACCATAAAAATTTACATAAAATAAATATAAGAACATAATAAATTAATCTCAGTTCTCCTACATATTTTCATTTTCATCTTATTTTTTTTACAAATAATTTATTTTCATTTATTAACACTTTGTTTTTCAAATACCTTTGTGTTCAACTTTAAAAAAAGATTTATGCGAGTCAAAAAATAGGTACACCAACTGGGAATCACACCCGGGAGTTTTGGCTGTCTATGCAGACGCCTTAACCAACTGAGCCAATGAGGTCTTGTTAGGAATTCAAATCCGATTTAAGAAACTAATTCAAATAAATCAACATAGATATAACTCTCAACCGTCTAGCAGCAACATGCTATAATTATATACAGCATACCAAAAGGTGCGTGCGCTTCGTAGGCTTAACCTCTAGTGTGTGGACGTCGCTATTATTTTCGATAAAATGAATATGACCACTAAAAGACGATAAGTTGCATGTTATTTGTTATCTCGTTCAGTAATTTCTTTAGTTAAGTAATGTTAAAAATGCAACAGAGGTAAAATCATGATTTATGATTTACAAAGCATGTTGCCTGGACTTAAACAAATAGCAAATTGCGTTTAGATACAGGTTTTAATAGCTGCGTTTAATGTAATTTCACCTAACATAAAAATATTTAGAAACCACTAAGATCATATGAAACATCAGTAGTGTTAATTTTGTATGGAGAAATATCTATTTCTCACCATTATTTGCCTTGGAAAACATTTTTGTTTGCAATACAATTAACATAATTTGCAATAGGTAGGCCTACGATACAACATATTTTGGTCAGGGGCAGCTAAAGGAAAATGTTACATTGAGAAACAGAAAAAAGACTATGGTTGACGAAAATCGAGTGTGTTTATCAACCGACTGTGCCTGAAAACCGAGTGTGCTTGAAAATCCGATGTGCTTAAATGTTGCCCTTCTGGCGTTCCATATAAAAAGTATAAAATAACTGACGGTAAAAATCAATGTTTTTCTCTCAATTAATCTGATCGACATTTTGATGTTACAGTAACTTTTTCAGACCGGTAGGTTTTGAATCTCAGACGTTTATTAAGGATCTCGGTTTTGCATTTGCTTAAATAAGCTAATTATAATACATTTTCAACAATAAAAATAGGAATCTGCAATTGTTAAAAAAGTTGTTCCAAAAATAAATACATTTTTATTATATTCTTTATATATAGCTTGCAATTAAAAACTGAAATGAGAACATAACGAACGTGCAATGTGAAGAATACCGTTAGTAGTCTGTTGTCTTATGTTATATTTTTTAGCTTTGTCATATTTTTGGGTAAATTCTTGGCAAACATGTCTAAAAATATCTAAGTAATTCACTGATTATGAAAAAAAAGGGTGCCAGTTTTTTTATTCACTTCTAGGGCCCATTTTGAACAAAACAATTTATTTATTTATCATACAATAGTCATTTTAGTTTATCTTTATATCATATAAAGGTATCAGTGATGCATTGGAAAGAAAATAAGAGCAGAAGAAATAACCACTCCCAAAAATCTTGCTACATGCTTATTCTGCTATAAATTCCAAGACTCAGTGTGAAGTGATCTATACGGACATGGCTAAAGCAATTTCAGCTATGTTAATTATTAGTTGAATGAATGAAAATTGGAATAAAAATTAATATATGGGATATATG